CCCCACTGGCCTCGGAGGTCCTGGTTTGCAGATCTGATGGACCTGTCAGTGGCACGGCCGTGGAGGATTCCGGGGGACAGAGTCGTCCTCAGCCAGGGGGTCATCCTGCACCCAGATCCGCAGTGGTTGCAGTTGACCGCCTGGCGCTTGAAAGGATCTTGCTAAGGAGAGTCAACGTTCCTAGCAATGCGATCCCCACGATTCAGGCATCCAGGCGACCGTCTACGTGCCGCATTTACAATGCAACTTGGAATTCCTTTTGTTCCTGGTGTGCTAAATCCCACCTGGATCCAACGTCTGCTTCCGTTCCTGAAGTGTTGGGATTCCTTCAGGAAGGCATGGACAAGCACCTTGCTCCTAACACTCTTCGTCGACAGGTTGCTGCTCTCAGTACGGTCCTCTCGGTTTCTGCAACGCTGCCTCTCTCGCAGGACCCTACGATTCGGGACTTTCTTCGAGGCGCGACCAATCTGCGCCCACCTGTTATACATCGCTACCCGACCTGGGATTTGACTCTGGTCCTTCAGGCCCTCATGCATCCTCCATTTGAGCCTCTCGCCTCCATCAGCCTCCGTTTTCTGTCACTAAAGGTAGCGTTTCTGGTCGCGATCACGTCGGCTCGCCGAATTTCCGAACTTGCGGCCCTATCGGTGAGAAGCGATCTCTGTATCTTTCACACCAATCGCGTGGTACTGAGACTTGACCCGTCATTTCTGCCTAAGATAAATTCCTCATTCCATCGAAGCCAGGAATTAATCCTACCGGACTTCTGCCCCGATCCTTGACATCCTCGAGAAGCAGACTGGCACCTGCTAGATGTCCGGCGAGCTCTGCGCCGGTATATTAAACGGACTGAGCATTTCAGGAAATCTGAATCGCTCTTCATCTCTTTTCTGCCCGCTTCCATGGGCCGGAAGGTTTCTTCCACGACAATTGGGAGATGGATTAAATCCTGCATCTCTAGGGCTTATTCGGCTCGGAACAGACCGGTTCCGCAGAGAATTCTTCCACACTCCACCAGGAGCGCCGCCACTACGGCCGCCTGGGCCACTAATGCCTCCATTTCCGACATATGCAGGGCGGCTACCTGGTCATCCTTGAACCCCTTCATCAGGCACTACAAGGTGGATTCCTTTGCCTCGGCGGAGGCATCCTTCGGCCGCCGGGTGCTCCAAGCTGTATGCAACTCTTCAGACGACGTACAGCAGCCGGGTTCCCTCCCTGTCTGAACTTGCTTGGGTAAATCCCGAAGCTTTGGATTCTCCAAGCTGCGCGTTGGAGAACGGACGTTGCTTACCTGAACGTCCCTTCTCGACGCGCAGCTGGAGAATCCAACCCACCCAACTTGGCTGCTGGACATTCCTTCCTGACGCTCTACTGCTCCTTACTTCGTGAACAAAACTGGGACTCTGTTGAGCAAGTGGGCGTGTCTGAAGAGAAATCTCTTAAAGGAACACACTCAGTGTAGGCTATCAACTACTGAACAACCCGAAGCTTTGGATTCTCCAGCTGCGCGTCGAGAAGGGACGTTCAGGTAAGCAACGTCCGTTCTGTAAAGCCATTAGCCACTTTTGAGAATTTTTTCTCCAAAGAATCAAACTTAGATTTCACCAATTCTTTAATTTCCTGCTTAAATTTTTCAAGTTGCTGATTCACAATCTCCTCCCTTCTTTCAATCTCCTCTATAAAAAATTCTATTATATTAAAATCAGGTTTCTGAGACTGAAGAGTTAAGACTTGTTCCTTTAAGTTGTTGGTGGGGGAATCCCCCCCCTTCTTGTTTATCTGACTTTATGAGTCTCAGTGCCATGTTTCCGCCCAGGCAGGCTTTGTTAAAAAAAAAGCAAGAAAAAAAAAGGGACTTCTTTCCAATCAACAATAATATCAAGTCTCCAAGGGAAGAAAAAGAGAAAAAGACACAGGAGCGAAGTTTTATCTACAAATGTAGCCAGTGGTATTTATTCCGCTACATTGTAGTAGAACCGGTTCTCTTTGTTCAGGAACTGCCCGCCCCCGCATTATTCTTAACTTTATTTGGCCCCGCCCCCAATCTATTCACTGCCTCCCGAGTCCCAGCTGATCGGCTAGAAGGAAAAAAACTGTTTAAACTCTTGCCGCGGGGCTTCAAAGGGCTGCCCTACAGCTGATCAGTGTTAAAAGTCAGTGTGGTGGTAGACCAGCGCGCTCGAAAAACAAATGGGTAGACCGGTGCGCTCCAAAAACAAATAGGTAGACCGGAATGCTCCAAAAATAAATGGGTAGACCGGAACGCTCCAAGAACAAATGGGTAGACCAGAACGCTCCAAGAACAAATGGGTAGACCGGAATGCTCCAAAAACAAATGGGTAGACCGGAACGCTCCAAGAACAAATGGGTAGACCGGTACAGCTCTGCAAGCAGTTGAAAGCCTGGTACACCAATACCTCTGCTAAATCCTAAAGAATTGTCACATGACCATCAAGCCATGCCCATAAAATAAGCCACGCCCACAGAACCGGTAGTAAAAAAATTTAGAACCCAGCCCTGGTTTGAATCTAGAGACTGGGAGGCAAAAGAAGTAACAGTACTGTATGAATTCGTATACCCTCCTTCTACAGGGAAAGTCAAGAAAGACTTTCTTTTCAGGTATTGTGAAATTAGCTAGAAAGTGACTAGTGCTAAAATTGGATTTAGGGATTATATTATATTGCTTGACAGTTCAAATTTTAACGTTCTGAAAGCAGGGTGGGGCAAGTCTTTCGGATTAATGAGAAAATAACCCATACTGATAGTGGCTCATCATCATCACAGTTTCCAAAACTGGAGTTTTGCCGTTCATTTTAAGCATCATCTGAGCCAAGTGTTATTTAATAATGGATGAAAATTATGGAAAAGTAGATTTCCGCTGAATGTTTGGGGGGAAAACTATTTCTGATTGTAAGAGCATTTCGGTGATAGAACAATTACTCAGATAATGGATTGTCCCTTGCTAATGTGCAATTGTTTGTCTGGAATGCTTTCATTTGGATTCTTGTTCTGAATAATAATAGCAGTAACACTTAACTGTATATACCGCTCCATAGTGCTTTATAGCACTCCCTGGGCAGTTTACAATATCAGCATATTGCCACCAACAATCTGGGTCCTCATTTTACTGACCTTGAAGAATGGAAGGCGGAAGTTGAATCGCCCTCGAGCCCCGTCAGGATTGAATTGGGCAGAGTTAGCCTATAGTACTCATACTAACCACTGTGCCATCAGGGCTCATGGGATGGGATAATCTAAATAACACCTTCCAATCTTATCAGTCTAGTGAATGTTCCAGTTAAGATTGTTAATGGCTATTAATCAGGATGGATACTAATTAGTACAGAGCCTTTGGTTGTATGAGTGCCTACTAACTGAACGTATGTCATCTCATGTTGCCTGTATGAACTTCTGAACTTCCCAGTGATCCCTGCTTGGCCACCAAATATGGAGGCTTCAACCAATTCTATCAGACCTCTTTTTGGTGTTAGACCTTTCTTTCAAACTATTGGAAACTTGGACAAGTAACAATGGATTTATAGTTACCGGGGCATGGGGCTAAATGTTAAAAAAAAAAAATCTCTTATTTTCCCCTTTTCCTTCTCATTGAAATTGCTTTTTTTTTTAATTTGATTTATATGCTGCCCTTCTCCGAAGACTCAGGGCGGCTTACAATGCATTAAGCAATAGCCTTCATACTTTTGTATGTTTATACAAAGTCAGCTTATTGCCCCCACAATCTGGGTTCTCATTTTACCTACCTTAGAAAGGATGGAAGGCTGAGTCAACCTTGAGCTGGTGAGATTTGAACTTGCAGTAATTGCAGGCAGCTGATGTTAATAACAGTGCTTTAGTCTGCTGCGCTACCAGGGCTCCATTTAGAGTAAGTCCTACTGAATTTTGGGGTCTTATTTTCAGATCTATGTCTGTAAACAAGTTCTCAGCCTTGAGCTCTGTATGTGTCTGCATGGAATGATTTGAAATGACAGGTAGCTGCTCCGAGGTGATTACAACTTAAATAGCAACAGCAGGAAGAATGTCTTCAATGTGACTTTGCTAACAGCTCAGAGGAGAGCAATATGCCAAACATTTTATTTTCATTCAACTTAGTGCAGGGCATGGGGTTTAAGCATTTGATAACTGGTTTCTGTATAGGATGCTTCCTAACTCCTTCATTTTTTTCACAACAAAACTCACAAGAAGTTTACTAGTTTTTTTTCGATGCAAGAGTTCATCAGGTAGGTGATTTTCCTGTCTCCCCCCCCCCCAATTTATCTGCTTGTCAGGCTAAATGCTAATATCAAGAGGTTGACAGGGTAATAATGATTGACTACCATAACAAATGAATTGCCACCTTAAACTATCGGAAGTCTAATGAGGATGGTAATGAGTAAAAGGAGCACTCTGTCTGCAAGCCTTCTCACACATTTTTAAAAATGTAATATCTTAACTTCAGAGAGAAAAGGGATATTAGATGGGAGATCTGTTCATCCCATATTTTTCAGGAATATCTGATGTAATTTAACTAATGTGTTCTGGCTGAGTTTTGCCCCTCCCCCCAAAAGGAGAGAGGGAGAGGGAGAGGGAGGGAGGAAGAGAGAGAGAGGAAGAGAGAGAGAGAGAGAGAGAGAGAGAGAGAGAGAGAGAGAGAGAGATGGAGACTCTTAAATAAATAGTTGTGCTATAGTCAATATTATTCCTAAACAATAATAATTCCCTTTTTTATGACCCTGTAATACCTTAATTCAGAATTAAATCCAGGTGACTGGATGAAACTGAGCATTTACTGACCGGATATCCTTCCTGATGCTACAAAGAGTTCACAGCAGATATTTTTTCATTGTGTCCTAGAGAGAAATAACTGCTGCTACCTAGGATTGAACTCTCAACCTTCAGAGTGGGAAGTGAGTGTCTTCACCACTAGGTCACCATGCTGCTCTACTCTTAAACAACAATCCCTACTCAAAAATCTCATCTTTCTGAAACAGGTATAGCTAAAGCATCCTCTGATTCAGTGCCTTCAGATCTGTGGAATTAGAATTGCATCCCCAATCAAATGCATTTGCTTATTGAAGATTATGGAAGGTACAAGCTAACGTTGGAAGAGTTGGGTTGCATATCAATGATAATGTGGTCATGATTTTGATTTGATAGTTGGGTTTGTTGTGTCAATATTCTAGAATAGTGATATCCTGATGCCTTAATGTGGGATAAATTATAGAGCTATACCAGTGTTGGCGAACCTTTTCAGCACTGAGTGCCAAAATGGGAGTGCGCACGTACGCCCAGGGGAGTGCCAGAAACCGGAAGAGCAATTCCCCAGTGCGCATGTGCACCAGGGAGCTGGTCTTCTAGTTTCTGGTGCACACAAATGTGCAAAGACCAGCTGGCTGGTGCAGATGTGCATGCCGGATCCCAGAAGAGCAACGGGCGATGGCTGGCATTCCGGGAAAGATGGCTCTGCGTGCCACTTCCGGCACATGTGCCATAGGTTTGCCATCACTGAGCTATACTATTGGGAAGCCTCCAAAGTTTCATCTTCCTTAACCTATAAGATGTGAAAAGTTTACAAGTGAAAGTTTGTATGGCATAAAAGGGAAAATAGATAACAGAGATTGCATGTTAATTGCATGTTAACTCCCCCATCATTTCAATAAAACTGCAGTGTATTTTATGATATTGTGAAAGACTAAGCAGGAGAATCTATTCATTTTGTTTAATGAAGTGTTAAAAGTTAGTGGCTATTTTAAGAAATTTCTTTTCTTCTGTTGCTCTTTTTCTTTAAGCGGGACAGACCTTTGTGCAGGAGATGTTCCTCGTGTAGTTCTTCAGATTAGAATTGTTCTCTATTAAATAGGATATGTGACAATTTTACTTGCAATAAATACTGTTGTTGAGAGAGGCAGAAGTAAAGAAAATTAATAGAAAAATAAATTGATTTTATATATTTGTTTGCTTATAATATTTATTTGCTGCCCATCTCATATCCAATGACTCTTCCTTAAGCTTAAAATCAGATATCTAAAGCATGATGTAAATTAATTGATTGGTATTATGTTTTCACATATTATCTCTACATATTGGAATGTAAAACCATTAAATTATGATAATGGTGACTGTTTCATCCAAAGGCCAGTCATTTATATCTGGGTGCAGCTCCCCAAAGCTTTGGGTGCCATACTCAGAACTCTTCAGAATTTAATGCCAAAGTATAATTTTTAATGTCACAAAAATAGAAAATTATGAAATATGTACAAAATGATTATGATAATGGTACTTAAATTTAAATTTCATTTAAGAAAAGTATCTATTTCATTTAGGTATAATTACCCAGTGTTGCTGGGAGTTGAGCAAATGTATTGTTATTATTATATACATAGCAGTGTTAAAACACAGCTGACAGTTCTCTAGTTCTTTCCAAGAACCTACAATGCCAATTTACTAGCATAGTATATGTGCAGATGCAAGCAGTGTGGCTTTTTGTAAGTGATGGATGAAAATTTTGTCAATACACAGATTTTCCAAATGCCATATAAGATTTTTTGTTATGGTATTCAGTGTGTCAATAACCAGTGAGACCACCATGGCTAGTTTATGCCATAATCTTTCAATTTAGATTTTCAGATCTTGAAACTTTATGATCTTCTCCAATTATTATTCCCCAGTATTGCCAAATAACTTATCCACACTTTCTTCTTTTCATCCACAGTTAAATCTGGTGTGTTATGAGCCAAAATTTATCAGTTTGTATTTGGAAATCCCACAATGTTTTAACCTGTTCATTTTTGCCTACTTTTTCAATTCTGTGTTCCCATCAAGTTTTAATTGCAGGTACATGCTAGTTTTCACACATTTTCCAGTGAATCGTTTTGGCAATTGTGTTACTGTTTATAGTCAGTATGTGCATTTTTGCATGAGCTGAGTATATGATTTGCTGTTTCTTTTGCTTCTTTGCACATTTTTACTACTGGTTCTCTGAACTACTCAAAATTTCTGCTACCGGTTCTCCAGAACTGGTCAGAACCTACTGAAACCCACCTCTGCTTTGGGCCAACATTAAATTTTCATTTATTCTCAACTTTATGAGTTAAATTCAACATACCCGTGATGTACTCAATTCCATATAACAAAGTGCCTAGAAATACTCTCTTGCCAATAGTTATTTTTGTGTCTTTCAACTAACATTCTCACAAGTCACCTATCACTCACTACTGTAGTGGAAATTCTGACTGGCCCCACTCCCATCTATTCTCTGCCTCCTGAGTCCCAGCTGATTGGCAGGAAATGGGGATTTTGAAGTAATCATCCCCTGGATTGGGGAGGGAATGGGGATTTTACAGTATCCTTCCCCTGCCATGCCCACCAAGCCACGCCCACCAAGCCACACCCACAGAACTGGTAGTAAAAAAATTTGAAACCCACCACTGGCCCAAAGGAGCAAGAACCAAGGAGCAAGATTATATAGGTAAACATAGAAAAAGTTGATGGTAGATATATACATTAATAACTTAAGAGAAGTACAGAAATGTGGGAAATCCATATTTCATGTTTCACCCTAGTGAGATATTTGTGTAGCTGAACACATGAGAGGGTCAACAGCATTGAACAGTGGAGTCCTTGATTACTCCTTTCCCCACATATATTGTTCCTTTTTTCCAGAAAATGCTGTTTATCACCCTTGAAAATCCCCTTTCTTGATTCAAAGAAAAGTGTGCTTTAATTTTCTAGTGTTTTGTGCATGAATTAGGCAACTAGGGAAAAGATAATACTTGATTTTTGCTTAAACAATACTTTATTTCAGATTACAGCCATGTTCTATGAAATGGAGAGTGACTGAGAATTGCAAGAATGGTATCACACATGCAGATTTTAACATAACTTTTTTTTTTTTTAAATAGCCACTATCGTTAGGAAGTGAAAACTGTTTTTAAGCAAATTATTATTATGCCATCTGTTTGTACAAGACTTTGGCTGTAGTTTCTGACCCCATGCTATATTCCGTTTCACAAGCTAGGAGGCTTCTGTATATGAAGACAATCAGTTTTTTTAAACCTCAGGAATTTATGCTCAGTTTCAACCTACAAACTCTGTAGGTTTTCTTTATTAGCTGACATCCTGCCAGTCTGCATGATCCCTTAGGATTAATTTACCCAGATCCTGTAAAATACTAATACGTTACTGCTGTCTTGTTTTGCACTTTCCTTAAATGCGGCTATCAAAATATCAACTCACATATTTTACCTTTAAATTCTCACTTATCTGGACTGGGAAATAATTTTTTTTGACATAGCTTTTTTGTTGGCACAGATCTGATTATCTATCCTAGAGCAACAATCTTATTGTCCCATTTTTCAATGTGAACGTTCGCTGCTAGCATATGTCCAAGCTATTTCAAACAACCTTATCTCAGTTTCCTTATCATGCCCTGTGGCATCTCAGTAGGCAACGGTACAGCAGAACAATCCACAAGATGCAGTCATATAAAATGATGCATGATAGAGAACACAATTTTTTTTAAAAAAATTCCCTCATCTGGATTGAACCAGAGGTCATCCAATGAAACATAATCAGAGGCAGATTTAGGAAAAAATTGACATATAATTTTCATAGTTTGCTGCCATAAGAAGTTGCAGTGGTGACTAGTTTAGTTGGTACATCTGTGAAATAGATGTGCATCCATTTCAGGTGATGATGGGCAAGAATTTCCATAAACCTTAATTCTTGCCTACCCTGGTTGAGGTTTATGGAAAATGGAATCCAGAAACTGAGCTTTTGAGGCACAGATTTCTATAGGCTATAGGAAAAGCAGTTGGAATGATTGGAGAGCTTTGTTTTGGACCTTCTTAAAGCCACATGAGGGACGCTGAGCTTATCGATCGAAAGGTCGGCAGTTCAGCGGTTCAAATCCCCAGCGCCGCGTAATGGGGTGAGTTCCCGTTACTTGTCCCAGCTTCTAGCAGTTTGAAATTACGTAAAAAATGCAAGTAGAAAAACAGGGACCACCTTTGGTGGGAAGGTAACAGCGTTCCATGCACCTTTGGTGTTTAGTCATGCTGGCCACATGACCACAGAGACGTCTTCGGACAGCGCTGGCTCTTTGGCTTTGAAATGGAGATGCGCACCGCCCCCTAGAGTCGGGAACGACTAGCACATATGTGTGAGGGGAACCTTTACCGTTACCTTTTTAAAGCCACGTTTCTGGCTATATGTTGGGTATTGTATGAGATGAAACTTTGATCATCTAATACTTTTATTTAATTGAATATTAACAGTCATCATACTGCAGGGTATTCCTTCCTAAATTCCTTTCATCTGTTAGATTTCCTCCCAGGAAAGTAAATTGCATTGATATTACATGTTATCAATCCCTATTGACTTCATTTCTGATTAAACAAGGATAAAATTGCAATGCTTGCAATAATTATCCCTCCCCTTGAAATCATAACATTGCAACTAGCATTTTAGGATTTCTAACAAATCTTATTCTCATCATCCTTCGGGAGAAACCAGTACATTTAAAGTTGATTCAGATTGTTTGAGGTGTGGGGTTTGAGGAGGATTGTTTTGGATTGGATGGAAGGATCAGATTCTGTAGTTGTTGCTTTTAGATGAAATAATAGTATATTTAATTTATTTGGAACATATATAATGAACTTACATAGAGTTACCAAGTCCTTTTAAAAACTAGCCCAAACTGCAAGAAATAGTATTAAGATCTGGAATTAAGTTGATTGTCTTATCTCTCTGGTTTTCTTGGAATGCATTTCTACACATTGCCAAATTATTTCAGAAATTCAATTTGAAGCGGAATAGATAATTTTAATATAACAGTAACTTTGGACATTCAGTGTAGTATACATTGCTTAACTGTGACTTTGTGCTTTAGAACATGCAGCTCAATTGATTTAGTCTTTAAAAAAAAAAGCCACCCAGAGTCACATGGTTGAGTTTGGCAGATATTGAAAAAGAAAGAAAGAAAGAAAAAAAGGAAGGAAGGAAGGAAGGAAGGAAGGAAGGAAGGAAGGAAGGAAGGAAGGAAGGGTGGGAGAAGGGAGAGAGGGAGGAAATACGACTTTGCGGAAATCCAGATCTAATTTATTTATAAAATTATTAATCTCCAAGGTGATTTTAATTTTAAAACAATTTTAAATCTTTCAAGTGTAATGCATAGATGCCTTCATAGTCATCAAATTATACCCTCATATGTTAAACAATATTATGCCACATGCAAAAAAGAAATTAGAAATAGTAAGCAAAATGAAATTGAAGGCATGAGATAAGAAAAGGAAACATGACTAAAAATAATTTATAGTAGCACCCTTATCTTTTTTTATATTTTTCTGTCTTAGCAAGTGATCCTTGCTTCAACCATATCCATACTTTTCTTCATATGTTACCTTTTATTCCTTAAATTTCTCACTTCTCATCAGGTCTATCCAACCATGACTTCCTCAATTTTCCTTTTTCTCTCAACCCACTCACTCTTTCTTCATATATTTATTTTGTAATTCAAGTTCCATTCAATCAGCCCTTCAGTACCAAACTACTTCAAACTACTTTCATATGGTCAGTCACTTTTGTATTAAATCTATATTCCTTCTTTACCCATTCATTCTGCAGCCTGTCTCTTTGTTTTACCATAGACACTTAAGTACCCCATTCCTGTTAAATTCAACATACCCGTGATTGAATTGTACTCAATTCCATATAACAAAGTGCCTAGAAATACTCTCTTGCCAATAGTTATTTTTGTGTCTTTCAACTAACATTCTCACAAGTCACCTATCACTCACTACTTTTCTACTAATATTTGCTCATCTTGAAATTTCTCTGTTCATTTTCCTATCTCTAGTAAACATTCTATCAAATTGACAAGGTCATCTGTTTGCTTTGGATTTTTTTAAATCACCAATTTAGAACTGGCAATTGTTCCCTTTATTTTCCCTGTCAAATAAAACTATTTTAGTCTTTGATAATGTTAATTTTCAAAGGCATGGTCCTCTTCCATCATATAATCTGAAACAATTGCTGCAGATCATTTGGATTGACAATAAAGACCTTAGCATCATTCCCACTTCTAGGTCCCCATCTTCATTCCAGATTCTAGATCACCAAATTTTTAGTAGCCTTGGTCTCTGACTGTTACTATGTACAGTAATACCAGGTCAGTCTGTAATATATGCTCCATTATCCATGAACTTATCATTGATGAGAAGGATGATCTGGCATGTATAGTGGGAAAAATATGCCTTCTGTTTTTTAATTTTGGCACTAACTGCAACCCCAGGCGTAGTTTGAATAGCTATTTTATTTGGAGGACTGTTATAGTGTCCAGTGTCAGTGTGTCATTGATGAAAGTATGTAATATGATTTTTGTGAAGTTAGATGCTAGAGAATGATTGAGTAACAATGGTTCCCTGCAGTGTTGGTATTCAGCCGGTTCTATTCGGTTTGGGCGAACCAGTAGCGACAGCGGTGGGAGGCTCCGCCCACCCGCCTGGACATAATCAGGTCCCATTTTTGACGCTCTGCACGTGCTCACATTTGTGAACCGGTAGCAAAGGTAAGTGAATACCATCCCTGATTCCCTGCAATATGGTATCCTATTGAGCTGATTGATGGTTTTAATGGGACAGATGAAATATAATCCAAAAGGTGTGGGACATTAAGATCTATCCCTCATCACAGTAATATTACCTTCTAGTTAATTTGGAGCTTTCTAATACTGCTCTCCCTTCAAGAAGGTGGGACTATTAGATTGAGTTACCCCAATAGATCCACTTGGTTTCCAGAGACCAGTTGGGAGCTTCCTGAATCTTTGATGGACAGTTCATCCAAGGCCTTCGTTGTTTCTTGAAATAAGAGAGGCCTTGGATAATATTGTACCTGTTGTTAGTTTGAATAGAATAGAATAGAATTTTTTATTGGCCAAGTGTGATTGGACGCACAAGGAATTTGTCTTTGTGCATATGCTCTCAGTGTACATAAAAGAAAAGATATGTTCATCAAGAATCATAAGGTACAACACTTAATGATAGTCATAGGGTAGAAAAAAGCAATCAGGAATGAGAGTGGAAAGTAAATGCATGTAATAAGGTATCATCTATGAATCTGTAATTTTCTGGATCTTGAGCTCTATAGTTATGGAGTATAAATTACCAGGTTCAGATGACCAATAGCACTATTTTTTCCTAGACCTGGATTAATAATTCGTATTAAGCCTAAAGTGCTAAGGCTTACAGTGCTAAGGTCACACTTTGTTCTAAGCCACTAACAAGCAGATCACATTATAACAAAGTACAAGTATGAATCTAATCATTATATGTCATGTTACAATGACTTTCCGCCTTGCTTTTCTCCACATTGTTAATAAGAATAAAGATCTCAACGCCTTAGAACTCTCCTGTTTATTCTGTAGTCTGATTTGACAGGGAAAAGACAGTTGCAAAGATTTTCTTAAGAGTGAAGGTTTTCGGTTTAATTGGCAGTGATGCTTGTGACAGGCCACTAAAATTCAGATGACAAGTCAACCATCCCAAACCCTGTGAAATGACATGCCAAATTCTTTCCATCTGTCACCAGATAGTATCCTTTGCCTGTGTCAGAAGGAATGCAATTACTTCAGAAGTCTTGTGATGACTGGGATTGCAAAGCCCAGAGGGTTTGCCATTTATTATGGTTCAGAAGCTCAGATAATAATTGACAGTAAGTTTCCAACATCACTCTCCTCTTGATGAATGGGGCCATTTTTATCTTTAATTTCCAATATACGAACGGTGAAGCTTAGATCGCTTTAAAAAAAAAAGAATCAAAGAATGCAATCTTTGTCTCTCCGTTTACATGGGTATGACTTTGTCTGCACATGGATGTGAACGAGCTGGACTTTGTGCTCGACACCTCTGTTGGATTCAGACAGTTTGTCTCAATTAAAAGGCCTGCCTTGTCTTTGTAGAAAGCAATATATTTCTTGTCCTTCTAAGTTGCTGGCCAGATGAGTACTTTTAGTTGGGAAGTTTTACTTACTGAGTTGTCCTGAATCTGGTATCAAAAATCTCCCTATTTTATTAAATATGGTAAAACTGAATGATCATAAGGAAGGCTGAACGTCAAAGAATTGAGGCCTTTGAACTATGGTTCTGGAGAAGACTCCTGCGAGTCCCTTGGACTGCAAGGCAATCAAACCGGTCAGTCCTAGAGGAGATCAACCCTGACTGCTCTTTAGAAGGCCAGATCCTGAAGATGAAACTCAGATACTTTGGCCACTTAATGAGAAGGAAGGACTCACTGGAGAAGAGCCTAATGCTGGGAATGATTGAGGGCAAAAGAAGAAGGGGCAGAAAATGAGGTGGCTGGATGGAGTCACTGAAGCAGTCGCCGTGAGCTGGTCTCTGGGGGAAGGTAGAGGACAGGAAGGCCTGGAGGAACATTGTCCATGGGGTCACGATGGGTCGGACACAACTTCGCAACTAACAACAACAAAGCTGAATGATAAACATTTTGCAGCATAATTCAAGAATGGATTTCTTCATTTATTTCCATGAAGGGGGAGTAGGGAGGTCTGGATGTTTATTTTAAGAACTCTAGTAAGTTGTTAAAGTAACTTTGATTTTTTGTATAAAATCTAAAACTAGAAAAGCTTTTATAAAAGTCTTAAGTAATAGCTAAGTAACAAAGACATAATGTTGTTCTCTCTCGTTGAAGAATGGAAAGAAGATAGGAAAAAAATCCTTTTGGGGCACTTCTAAATGGTCATGAAAAAGTATGAAATTCAATGAAATGTAACATTAAGATGTCTTCATCCAGTTACATCAGCCTGTTCTACCCAGTGAGGCAGAGGAGGTATGCTGTGGACCCCATCAACCAAAGAATTCTCTGAGCTTAATTGTTTTTATGCAGACATTTCATTACCCAAATTAGGTAATATCATCATTGCTAGAATTCTGACTGATGGGGTCCAGGAAGAGAGTCTTCTCTGCCATTGCCCCCATCCTGTGAAACTTACCCACTGCAGAAATGAAATGGATCCTCACTCTGGGGCGGGTTTCATAACCCGTTGCTACCCATTTGCTTGTGGACGTGCGCTCGCGCGTGATGCTTCTGGACATGCGTAACGCTTCTGCGCATGCGCAGAAGCATCCGGGCTGATGGGCAGAGCCTTCCGCCACCACTACCGGTTCTCCAGATCCGGTGCGAACTGGTAGCAATCCACCACTGCCCTCACTCTCTTAGCTTCCATGAAGGTGTAAAAACATGGCTTTCACCCTTTGCTTGGGGTGATGAGCACATAGGTTGTTGACCTGAAAGTTCTCCTCCTGCTTTTTAATCAACTTTTTAACATCCCTTGTCACTTTTAAAATTTACATACTGTTTTTAAGCCTTCAATATTTTATTGTACAGCATCCAGAGTCCCTCTGTGAGGAGATGGGTGGTTCCTAAATATGACAACTAGTAATAATAATAACTTTAAAAATAGCCGATATCCTACAAGATTTTATAAAATTTCAATGTACCACATTTTGTGAATTTTCTACAGAGCTCTGAAATTTTCTACTATAAGTAATTTAATTCTCCCAAAATGTTGACCATTTTGTTGTTTAATAGTTAAACAACAAAACCGGCAAGATTTTGCGAGAATTAAATTACATGGTGCCTCACCGCTGTGCCCTTTTTGTCTGAATAAAATAGTTGACTCTAGGTGTACTTCCTTGATTCTCAGATATGGCTTAGTGACATTCTTAGTTTCTTCAAAATAGATTGTAAAACTATCACATGTTCTTTTAATAGATGCTGGTTTAATAGAATGGAGTATCAGACAGTGCACGATTCGAATCTCAGTCCTTTTGCTGTGCTTACTTGATTATCATGATCTCCATCTCACCATGCATTAATTTGCTTTAAATAGCCCAGATGACATTTAAAAGGGCATTCTAATTGACTCTCTAAACCTTCTGAGGTTTTCCCATCTCCTGGTCCCATCTCCAGGTTGATTGTGAGTCTGATACCCAATATGTGTATAAAGTCCTATGTGGCTCATCAAATAAACAGATATTAAGCATAAGAGAAAGCTGTTTTATGTAGATACCTTTTTGGCCCTAGAAGGATAAAAGCAGTAGCTTCTCTTGAAAGAGACTTGAAAATACACACATGGATTTTATCCAATCTATGTTTCCCTTAAGGTTTAGAGAGGTCTGGATTATATCTGCTTTATTAAATTGTAACTATTAAACAAAACAGAAGGTTCCTCTCTAGAGTCTGAGATCCTTTTCATTAGAAAAGCAGGAAACCTGGTTAATGAGAAGCAGGGTTTGGCAAGAACTTCCCTTCTGCTCGATAACTTAGACATTTGATTTTATGGGCCCTGTGTTGATTTAAGATTTTAAACCTCAAGGAAGCAGAAATTAAATGTTTCATAAAGAGGCTGACTTTGTGGTGCTCTTAATGTTTTGCTAGTAACTTATTCTTTATGGCAAAAATTTGAGCCTACACCAGTGTATTTTGAGCTAAGTGGTTGTTATTGGTGTGTTGAAACGGTGTCATTTCAAGTCCCGTGAGATGGCAAGAGGCTGGAGCTGTGCTAGAGAAGAAAATTTTGAGGTTTTTGCTAGGGGCTCCTTCCAGAAGAAGATTAGTATTGCCAGAAATATTGTTGCCTGTGGCTATTGATGATACTATTTGAGAGTAATCTGCCTGTTCTTGCAAAGTGATAGATATGTCCAGTATGGTTGTCAGATGTATCACATAAATGGCACATCCAAAATATGGCTCCAAATCCTTTTGCAAATATGTGTAAATATGGAGTGGCAGGCAGGTCACCTGAGTAGGGAGGCAAAATATCTTCTAATGTATTTTTTTTTTAAAATAAAGGAATCTCTCTAAAAGAGTGAGGTTCAAGGGCATTGTATTGCTTCAAAAAGAGGGCCATGAGATTTGAGCAAATGTTTCAGCAAGGTTTTTAAAAAAAGCATGAGGAGAAGAAATGTATTTTATTGGCGGTTATTTTGAATGTCAGCAAATTCCACTGTTTGAAGACAATCCCGGTCAGTGGCAATTAATATTTCTACATTAGTTATTGTTGATTTAGACTAGGAAGATCCATAATGCAATAGATAGAAAGCAAGGGAGTCTGTATTATTTATTTATTTATCGTATTTATATGCCGCCCTTCTCCTGTAGGACTCGGGGCGACTCACAAGATAAAACAACACAACAATAAAATGATATTAAAACAATGCAATTTAAAATTCCCAAGCAATTAAAACTCCCGGCAGATGATACAGGGATGTATGATTCTATTTACTAGAATAGGTAAACTGGCACATCTGGGAAAACCTGAATCTGAGAGGTCCAGGTTTTCCCTCAGTAAATCAAAACCCCCCAAACCATCCTCTCACTCCTCAGTCGATCACATGCTCCAATCACCATCCATCCCATCTCAAGACAGCACTCTGACCACTCCTTCTCCAGATGCAGGATCGGCCTGAACTTGACCGACAGGACGAATGCTATTATGTCTAAAGACAATCCCTCTACTAAATCCCCCCTCCTACTTTCCCACACATGAAAAGGTGGCAGCATGGAAGCTTCCGGCCGAATATGGCTTCCAAAGCTGACATCAATGGGAAAACCAGATCCTCTTAACAACCGTGTTACTAATTTAACAACTGCAATGATTCACTTAACAACTGTGGCAAGAAAGGTTGTAAAATGGAGCAAAATTCACTTAACAATATTTCACTTAGCAACAAAAATGTTGGGCTCAGTTGTGGTTGTAAATCCAGGACTACCAGACATGGTATTCAACAGGTTCTGACCAGTTCTGGACAACTGGTAGCGGAAATTTTGTGTAGTTCAGAGAACCAATAAATATCATCTCTGATTGGCCCCGCCCCTATTTTTCTCTGCCTCCTGAGTCCCAGCTGATCGGGAGGAAATGGGGATTTTTCAGTAACCTTCCCCTGGAGTGGGGAGGGAACGGAGATTTTACAGTATCCTTCCCCTGCCACGCCTACCAAACCACGCCCACAGAACCGGTAGTAAAAAAAATTGAATACCACCGCTGAGGACTACCTGTACTATTTCTGACAAATGGCTGTCCAGTGTCTTCTTAGAAGCCTCTTGTGGGAAACTCTCTTTTCTAAAGCAAACTGACTCTGAAGAGAGAGAGAGAGCAAGCATATATTATCCCAATCTAATTCTGTTTACTTATTTTACATAAGTAATACCCTGTTGGCAGTGAATGTTTGCTTCGAGTGAAAAAGAGCCTCCTAGCAGTCTGCTTTGAACTACTGCTCCACCATAATGGAAAACAAGATTAGGTGTTTGCTCTCCAAGCTGTCAAGGTTTTGGCCAAGATGAAATGTCTCTTTATATTAAAAAAAGAGGTACTCTATTATTTGTTTAAACTTCAAATGTCTTAATTTCTCACCCCTGCATCTGTAGCAGGGGTGAAATTTAGCAGGTTCTAACAGGTTCTGGAGAACCGGTAGCAGAAATTTTGAGCAGTTCGGAGAAACAGCAGGGGAAATTTTGAGTAGTTCAGAGAACCGGCAAATGCCACCGCCGGCTGGCCCCAGAGTGGGGTGGGAATGGAGATTTTGCAGTATCCTTCCCCTGCCATGCCCACCAAGCCACGCCCACAGAACCGGTAGTAAAAAAAATTGGATTTCATCACTGATCTGTAGCTCTTGTAGAAGAATAGTAAGGACAAGTGATAATAATTTTGTAGAAGAAACTTGAATTGAATTGTTAGCAAGTTCTCTTCTATATTCATTGTTGTTAGTTGCGAAGTCATGTCTGACCCATCGCAGCCCCATGGACAACATTTCTCCAGGCCTTCCTGTCCTCTACCATCCTCTGGAGACCATTTAAGCTCATACCTACTGCTTCGGTGATTCCATCCAGCCACCTCGTTCTCTGTCGTCTCCTTCTTCTTTTGCCCTCAATCTTTCCCAGAATTAGGCACTTCTCCAGTTGAAGCGGGAAAACCCATTTTCCCAAATGCAGGAGACAAGACCACAAAAGTTGGAGAACACAGGTTTATTTGCTAGCAAAGGTTTGGAGCATTCACATGTCAGATTCCGAACCCTGGGCTACGCCCAAAGTGTACCTTTTATACATTTTGCAATTCTAGCCATGCCGGAGGCATTACGCTTCTGACTCTATTTCCATATATGGGTACACCATCTGTTACTTTCCGTGAACACTTCTGGTAATATGTTTCTTAATATAAGTTCGTTACAGGGATGATATAGAACATAGGTCATTAAGCTCATAAGTACATTTAACAAGTTTCTTATTTCTGTTCCTTGTACTTTCCTGAGGTTTGCAACATAACTTCTGCTCCAAAGTCAGTACCTCAGAAAACAATATAATACTGCATGATACAATACTTATATTAATATGATTTATAGTATAAGACCCTCCTGTCGCACAGTGAGTCCTTCTTTCTCATTAGGTGGCCAAAGTATTTGAGTTTCATCTTCAGGATCTGGCCTTCTAAAGAGCAGTCAGGGTTAATCTTCTCTAGGACTGACCGGTTTGATCGCCTTGCAGTCCAGGGGACTCGCAGGAGTCTTCTCTAGCACCATAGTTCAAAGGCCTCAATTATTGGATGCTCAGTCTTTCTTATGGTCCACCTTTCACAGCCATACATTGCAACTGGGAAAACCATAGCCTTGACTATATGCACTTTTGCTGACAGGGTGATATCTCTGCTTTTTAGTAAGCTATCTAGATTTGCCGTAGCTTTCCTCCCCAGGAAGGGGAGGCTGCAGTCCCCATCTGCGGTGATCTTGGAGTCCAGGAAAATAAAATCTGTCACTACCTCCATTTCTTCCCCATCTATTTGCCAGGAATTGAGAGGGGCAGATGCCATGATCTCCTATATACTAGAGACTTATATGCCCCTATTTTTTTTCTTGTTTTTAATATCATTTCATCAGTGCTGATAAATCTGAAAGAGTTGCTATTTTCATTGGTGCATATTGTGATGCCACAGTGCCCAGAGTTGATCCATCGATTCAACCATATAGATTTGATGGAAGTACAGATTTTGAATGAGGCTGAAAAACTCAACTTTGGTGTTCCATTATGAGATTATAGTGTTCTAATATGAGACTTAGCCAGGGGTGAAATCCAACAGGTTCTGACAGGTTCTGGAAAACCAAAAGTGGAAATTTTGAGCAGTTCGGAGAACTGGCAGTGGAAATTTTGAGTAGTTCAGAGAACCGGCAAATACCACCTCTGGCTGGCCCCAGAGTGGGGTGGGAATGGAGATTTTGCAATATTCTACCCCCAGGAGTGGGGAGGGAATGGGGATTTTGCAGTATCCTTTCCCTGAAGTGGGGTGGGAATGGAGATTTTGCTATATTCTTCCCCTGCCACGCCCACCAAGCCACGCCCACAGAATCAGTAGTAAAAAAAAATTGGATTTCACCACTGGACTTAGCCAAATACTGTCCCCAAACTTCACAATATTGCAGGTTTTAATGTTTGTGTGTGTCTTTGTTGGATTATTTTGGTGGCCTAGCAAATTCCCTAGGACAGATATTTGTATGAGGTAATAAGTGAATTGTAGGGATTTTGTAGAAACCTAGCTTGAAATCTCTGTTTTGTGTGATGATCTAAAACAAAACGTCTTTATTGCTCTCTAACTTACTTCTCAGGGTTGCCCTGAAAATAAAACAAAATTATAAGATTGCTGAGTATCTTGAAGAAAGGATAGAATGGCAAAGAGGAAATCTCCATCAAAAAACATAGTCGTAAAACATAGATATGCTAAATTATCACTTTTAGACTTGGATCTACGGATATTATTAAGCTTGCCAAATGGAAGTTAAGGGAATTGTAATCCACGGTTGGAAAAAGTTTTATGCCTTATTCATCCTTAATTGTTTGCAACAAACAATTCAGAATATCATTATTTTATTGTGCAATCTCTATATGATCTTTTGGTTCATGTAGTCAACTCTTTCATTTTGGAGTACATTACAAAGAGTTTGGCAATGAAGCAAATATTGTATGTAAGTTGTCATTTCATGTAAATATGCATATCTTATACCATGCATGAACCAATTACATTTTAGGGAAAAATCAATTTCTTGGGGAAATGCATAATATTTTTTCTCTCTCCTTTTGTTTACTTAGACAAAAGTAATTCTTTGGAAGCTAAGCCATTGATAACTTGAGCAGAGATTCAAGTATATAAACGTGACATATGCCTCTTTTCCACTAATACATTAAGAAGGATGAATAGGGATGTTACTCATCTGGATATGTGCACAGAAAGCCAGTGGAGACGAACTAGTAAGTGCGGAAATGTCTTTTTGATTTCTCTCATCATAGAAGCCTGAATCAATATATTCAATATGTATTTTTTTTAGCATATTTATATTGTGAGCGAATTAAAGAAGTCTTAATGATGTGAGTTTAGATTCAAAAAAAATCTGTGAACATTTGCATATATAAATAGTTCCAAGGAATTTTTTTTAACAAAAAATGTGTATGCATATGTTTTGTTAGGCTTCATCTGAGAATTGGTAGTAGTTCTTGGTGAGATAAGCAGAATGTCTCTTCTGAGCTCATGCTTCCCATAGGTACTTGATTTAAAATAATTAGTATAAATTATCTACTATCTGATAAAGCAGGAGCAGAAGTTTGATAGCAGTGAACACATTTGTCATATGTGCCCTGGTGGTGTAGTGGTTAGAATGCAGTATTGCAGGCTAACTCTACCTGCAGCCTGGAGTTCAATCCTGATCAGTTCAGGGTTGACTCCGCCTTCCATCCTTCTATGGTCAAGGAAATGAGGACCCAGATTGTTGGGGGCAATAGGCTGACATTGGAAACCACCCAGAGAGTGCTGATAAGCACTTTGGGGCAGTATATAAATCTAAGTGCTATTTCTATTTCTATTGAATTCAATTGTTCTACTGATTACATTGCTTTTTGGAAGAGTCATAAGTTTGTTTCTGATTTACTGTGGAAGATTTCTTGGGCTTCCCAAGAAATTCATTTAGAGCTCCTAAACATAATATCAGGGTTCCAAGTAACACCCCCAATGAAAGAAGACTCCGAGGTTTGAAGTTCCTCAAAGTTCCATTTTATTAGAGATGTCATATTGGCGCATCTGGGAAAATCCGAATCTGAAAGTTCCCACCCAAAGGAAAGTCCACGTCCCTTCCCCTGCATCCACATGTCCATCACATGGTCCAATCAAAGCACCGTCCCAACTGGAGATGCCTTTCAGTCACACCCCTCCAGATGCATGGCAAGATGTCCTTGACTCTCTGAGAAAGGAATGTTATTATGACTATATATCACCATACAATCCCCCCTCCCAGTTTCCCATAGTACTAAATGTGACAGGCCTGAAAATCCAATGCAAAAGATGGCTTCCAGGTCTGACACATAAATGAAAAACATATGTCAGAAGCGCTTAAATGAAATTTGCCAGCAAGTGCATACATGTAAGAACATGTGATGTCCATAATGCAGCAACAAGCTAGCTAGCAAATGAATAATTCTCAAAGAGTTCATCAAATGCAAATCTCTTATTAACATTGAACTCAAATGCCACTCTCAAGGTGAAGCTAAGACTCCATCTGCCTTCCTCTCTTTTCCCATCCTAAAATTCTGAGCTAATCCCTGAAGGCTCATCTTTCTTTCATGGATCGACTGCAAATAATAATTAGCTGAAAAGAGAAAGCTGCAGATCTACCCTGCTTTTATCCAGTTTAATCATTAAAATAATTCTGGGAAATGTGGAGTTTGGGGAATTTGATTGGAATTTAGATCTCTTACAGTAAGCTGAGAGCAAGAATCGGAACATTTTGAAGACAACAAAACTTTTCTATGCTCAGCATGATATTTCTAAATCCTTCTTTTTTGTTTGGATCCAGTTTTGCTTACTACTACATGCTATGTTGTAGGATCCAACCTTGGCATGTCCTCTAAACAGCTGATGGAGAAAGGGCAGCATGAAATTGGAAAGTCTGAAAACCATTGCTTTAGTCCAGGGGTGTCTAACCTTGGCAACTTGAAGGCCTGTGGACTTCAACTCCCAGAATTCCCCAGCAAGCCATGCTGGCTAGGGAATTTGAGAGCTGAGTTCCATAAGTCCACACAACTCATGCTGATCCCATTATAAGTTTACATCTATTTGCCTAGGATCAGAAAGAAGACTAGAATTTTCTGTGCTTTGTGTTGTCATGCACATAGAACAAGCCCACATATTACTTCTGAATTGAAGCTGAGAGATTGCTAAAATGGAAAGGGGATTGAATGACATGCTTTTTATATGGTACTTTTGTTAAGATGACAATAAATTGCTATCTCTGGTGACAGCTTTATATTTCAAATGAAGATAATTGAGGTTTTGTGTTTGGCGTTGTTGCCATTAAAGCCTTTTGGGTTCCATTAAAAGCTGTAGGGAAAGATATTAAATATTGAGTCAAAAATATTTATTATACACTTGTAGGTGTGCATGTGTTTTGTTAGAATTTCTTGTTCTTCACATTTACCTTAGTTTAATGATACACCTAGTGATCACTTTTATAAAGCTTTCTCTCCTGCATTTACTGATGCACATACAGATACTTGTTATTTTTAACACATTTACCAGATAACACTCATAAACACAGGTGGCTCAAAGTATGCACTACAGCATGTAATGATACTATTTTCCCAAATAAATTTTCTCTTTAAAGTAAATACAGAATCTGTGTAGCATTAATGTATTTTATCTTCCTTTTTGGTAGTGGTGGTGGTGGTGGGGGAGAAACAATGGAAATTGTACCAGAAGCTTAATTTAGAAATTGAATAGATAAGTTTATTCTATTCATAGGTGTGATTTTCCTGATCTTAGAGTGATGTATCACAAGATTTGGGACAAAGTTAGACATTATGTTAAGTCTTGTTATTGTTGAATGCAATGAAATCACTCACCACCCTTTTAGGAGTCTCTGCAGAAGTTAGCACTCTTCAAATGTTACCATTTTTTTTTTATTTATCTTCTCCATACTTCTGATATCCATAAATATGAGGATTGTAATTATCAGAATTCTTAGCCGACATACATTCTTCTCTGTCTTTCATGCACGATTGTCCCAGTTTCCCTAAAATGGTTAGCTTGGATCCCCAAATCTTTTTCTTCACATTTTTGTCATGTAACTAGAATTCTCTTTAGAGCTCTAGACACTGAAAAAAAATATGTCTGTGCCGTAGGATTATTTTATTTGTGTTCAAATGAATGCAAGTATAATTCCTTGTTGGGCTTTCCCATTCAAAACAGCACGGAAAGTGAGAGGATGGGAAAACGTTCTCTAGAAGGTATTAATTTAGATAAATATAACCATGATTCAGTTTCAATGAAGGCAACTTGGAATTCAGAGTTGCATTTGGTCTTCTGCTGTATTGGGAGTAGGAGAAGGTCATTCAAGTTATCTTTGAGCAGGCAGCCAAATTCCATTCAATATTGCTGAATACAGTTTTATAATTTTCTGGGAACTGTACTTTGGCTCTAGCGCAAACCTGACACAGTGGAAATGCACAAAATGCAAAATCTCAGCTCCTCTAATAGGCGTGACATGATCTCATCATGCTTGCCTTGCATCCTTTTCTCATCCTGCTGTGGTCCTTGATTCCCTTAATGTAAAAAAAAAATCAGAAGATCACCAACTCTGATTTACTTAAGTCCCATTGATTTAAACTGGTCTTCTCCAAGTATGAGCTGACTAAACACAACCTCAAGAAATACTTTACAATTGTTCTGTATTGAATTCAGCCAAGGATATATATCGCAGATACCAAAGTCACATTGTCACAAATCACTAATCTGACTTGCAAGACTTAGACTAAAGGTTTTGTGTAGGTGTGTATCAGAGGTGAGTTTCAGCAGGTTCTGACCAGTTCTGGAGAACCGGTAGCGGAAATTTTGAGTAGTTCGGAGAACTGGTAGTAAAAATTCTGACTGGCTCCACCCCCATCTATTCTCTGCCTCCCGAGTCCCAGCTGATCGGGAGGAAATGGGGACTTTGCAGTAACCTTCCCCTGAATTGGGGAGGGAATGGAGATTTTACAGCCCACCAAGCCATGCCCACAGAACTGGTAGTAAAAAAAATTGAAACCCACCACTGGTGTGTATGTGTGTATTTATGTAGCAAAAAGGATTATGGCAATATTGACTATTGTCTTCAAGAATTTCTCATCGCTATCTGTGATTAAGTTCTGTAGCTGAAGCCGATGCTTTATCTGTAAATCTAAAGAAGGGTTGACCTAAGAAAATGATTGCTTTTTTGTAGCCAAAACACATCTGTTAATGAAAAGAACATTTGAAATCTCAGACTTCCAGGCTATGTATCTTGTCAACACCCCATCATCTTTTTTTCCGGCAGTATGAACTTTGAATGGAACCCTGCACTTCGCTGCAGAGACAAATACAAAAGGCTTTTGTGTAAGATTCGGTGAAGAATCTGAAGGTGGAGTTAGCTATTGCAGCAAAAATAAGCTAGTGATACTTGAAAAACTATGCGCCCATTTGCTCATTAGAATCCATTTCCTCAACATAGAAAAAAAACCATACAATTTTTTTTCCCAGGAAAACAGAAACTGAGGATGTAAAACGATAGGTTTTATGTATCTTTGGATGGGAGAAAACAGAACAAGTAAGCTTTGGAAATCATTTCCACTTGAAATGCTTAAGCATTTAATAATTAGAAATATTTCAATTCACTCCCTATTTTGTTAAAAGTATAAACTAATTTCCATTTTACTTCATTCTCCCCCATGATTTTCTTGGCATAAAGGCTTAGTTTAAGTTTATTGACATACTTTGTCCAGAAAAAAAAAATATAGCAAATAAATTACGGCAAATCAACAGACGATTATGAGGTTAATTATAATCATGAAATGGGTTGTTGCCCAAGATATATTTTTTTTAAAAAAAGAATGTTTTATGATGTCATGCATCTCCCTTACCTCTCCATTTATTGGGGTTTGTGGGGTAAAGCCAACAAATTTCCTCACATATTTATTTACAGAAAGTTAAGTCATGAGAAATTTGTGGCTTCACACGGTTCCCTTTTTAGTTGGTCACAACAGGTGGTATAGCTAGTCAATTTTGGATGATTTAGAAACAATATATATATATATATTCATGTATATATATATATACATGAATAATTGGAACCAGGAGATCCCAAATGTGTAGATTAGGCTGAAAAGTCAAAGAAGGATCATATTATAGTAAAAACAACAACAACAACAACAAGTTGAGCTTCTTTTGAGACAGATTTCATTTTTAGTTA